GCTCCACGGAGTCAAATTGCAGCCCTGGTCCCTAAGATTTTGGGCCCAGTATTTGCTCCAAAAGGTGAAATCGCAAGCCCCGGTCTTTAAGATTTTGGGCTCATTTCTTGCTCCAAAGAGTAACATCGCAAGCCCTGGTCCATAAGATTTTGGAATCGATTTTTGCTCCAAAGAGTCAGATCGCAAGCCCTGGTCCTAAAATGTTGGGCTCAATTTTTGCTTTTCCCTTCTCTTCTGCTGATAAAACACAAGAAAGGAACTCATATGATAAAGCAGTGGAAAGGTAAGCAGAGGGTGACTCCTTGCGCGTGAGCCTTTCCATAATACTCCATCATATTCATCCTCTCGGCCTATCTCTTCTGTTCCTTTCCTTACTCTTCTCCTTCTCATAGTTCTTCCTTTTTGTTTTTCTCATTTCGAAAAGAAAGAGGGAAGGGAGAAACAAGGGAGAGAGAATAGATAAAGAAGAGTGCCATCTTCTCTGCGCCTTGTTTTGTCTCTCCCTCTTCTCTATTCATCTGTCTTCTATTCTCTTCCTTGCTCTTCCCATTAAATATGCAATCCTTGGTATCTCTCCTCTCTCCTTCTCTCTTCCTCCAACAGATGTGCTTTGGATCGTTTTCTGCATCTTCAAGCGAGAAAAAAGGACACAGACTGCGATTAAAAGGGACGCCCATGTTGGATTGGCAGCAAGCCCAGCTGATGCTCATGATTCTCTCTCTTTCCCTACACATGGGCGATGGAACGGGTGTCCTTTTCAATCGTTTTCTGCATCTTCAAGAGAAACAGGGACACCCCACAAGAAGGAAAAGCAACATAAGAGATAGGGAGGGAAATTGACCCTTTCCTCTCTTCTTATCTGCTATTTTTCTTATTCGCTTCAAAAAGCAACATAAGGGAAAGGGGATTTCCTGAAGAGGAGAGAGGGAACCTATCTGTGAAAAGCAAGAATGGTTTTTTCTAGTTCGAAAGGGAATAGGGAGAGACAAGGGAGAGATGATATGTACAGCTTTGCGCCTTATTTTGTGATTCCGTCTCCTTGCTTCCTGTCTCTTCTATTCCTTGCAGCACGCTTCGGGAAACATAGCATCCTTGTTATCTTTCCTCTCTCACTTCCCTTTCCCTTCTCTTCTTCCGCTTCCTTTTAACTGATAAAACACAAGAAAGGAACTCATATGATAAAGCAGTGAAAAGGTAAGCAGAGGGTGACTCCTTGCGCGTGAGCCTTTCCATAATACTCCATCATATTCATCCTCTCGGCCTATCTCTTCTGTTCCTTTCCTTACTCTTCTCCTTCTCATAGTTCTTCCTTTTTGTTTTTCTCATTTCGAAAAGAAAGAGGGAAGGGAGAAACAAGGGAGAGAGAATAGATAAAGAAGAGCGCCATCTTCTCTATTCATCTGTCTTCTATTCTCTTCCTTGCTCTTCCCATTAAATATGCAATCCTTGGTATCTCTCCTCTCTCCTTCTCTCTTCCTCCAACAGATGTGCTTTTGGATCGTTTTCTGCATCTTCAAGCGAGAAAAAAGGACACAGAATGCGATTAAAAGGGACGCCCATGTTGGATTGGCAGCAAGCCCAGCTGATGCTCATGATTCTCTCTCTTTCCCTACATATGGGCGATGGAACGGGTGTCCTTTTCAATCGTTTTCTGCATCTTCAAGAGAAAAAGGGACACCCCACAAGAAGGAAAAGTAACATAAGAGATAGGGAGGGAAATTGAAGAACTCCTCATTGTACTTGGTCATTCCCTTTCCTCTCTTCTTATCTGCCCATTTTCTGTGCGCCTTGTTTTGTCTCCCCCTCTTCTCCCATCATCTCTCTTCTGGTCTTTTCTTTGCTCTTCCCATTAAAAATGCAACCCTTTTTATGTCTCCTCTCTCCTTCTCTCTCCCTCCTCTTCTCCTGTTCCCTTCTAAACGACAAAAACGCAAGAAAGGAAGAATAAGAGGGGAATGGAGGCCCTGTTCCTTTTCCTCTTTCAATGGATGGGGGAAGTGGGCGGAGTTGGCCCCTTGCCCGTACACCCTCCCCATGCTTCAGCAAACCCCTCCTCTCGCCCTATCGCCTCTGTTTTTTTCCTTGTGCCCAAACGGAAAACGAAAACGGGTTCCTTTATATGTTCATTGTCCTTCCTTTTGTTTTTTTATTTCACAGGGAAAAGAACCAGAGAAGAGGAAGATAAGAACGAGAGGTGAGATGAAAACGGCACCATCTTCTCTTTGCCTTATTTTTGCACCTCCCTCTCCTGTCTTAATTTCTCTTCCACTCTTTTTTTCCATTGCTCTTCCCATAATATTGCATTCCTTTTGATAACTCACAGGAAATTAAAATGGCCTCCTTGTTGTCTCTCCTCTCTCACTTCCCTTTCCCTTCTCTCCTTCTGTTTCCTTTTAATTTTAACTGATAAAACACAAGAAAGGAGCTTGTAAAATCAAGCAGTGGAAGGGTAAGCAGAAGGTGACTCCTTGTGCGTGGACCTTTGCCGTACTTCACCATACCCCTCTTTTCGGCCTATCTCTTCGGCTCTTTTCCTAACCCTTCTTCTTTTCATCTTTCTTTTTGTTTTTCTCATTTCGAAAAGACAGAGGGAACGGAGAGATAAGGGAGAGAGGATAGATAAAGAAGAGTACCATCTTCTTTGCGCCTTGTTTTATCTCTCTTCTATTCTTTTCTTGGCTCTTCCCATGAAAATCGTGTTCCTCTTATCTTTCCCTCCTTCTCTCCCTTCTCTTCTCCTCACGAGAGCCTTCGACTTTAGGATTGAGGAGAAAAAGAGAAGAGAATAGAGGAACTACCTGGTTCTTGTTCCTGAGGCCTCCATAGTACGACTGACGTGACAGCAGCGTACCCTCGTGGAAACGTGTATGGCTATAAGAAAACCCGAGTCCCAGCTTCCAAATAGACCCTATTTAAGCCACCCACGGGGTGGGGGGTCGGTGCACAACTTTTTCATGGAGGACCGCGCCACCCACACGGAGCATAAACGCACCGACCATAGGCGGTTCACCACAGGGGGTAGGGCAGGGGCTCCTTTGGCAAAACCTATGTTTGAAGCCACCCCCCACCCACCCCCGCCCCACCCCCCCCCCTGCCAAGACACTTGCCCCCAAAACAACATGCAGAGTTTTTTAAGGGCCTCGAATTTAGGGGATTTGAGCTTTGGGCTTTGAGAGGTTTCGGGCCTCTTGGGTCGGCGGCCTGAGCCGGAGGCTCCTAAGTTTAGGGTTTATGTAGGGTCCCCTAAGCCCAGAACCAAAACTTAATCAAACTGAACAAGCTATTCCCCACGGCACATACTGCTGTCTGCAGCGCACGGGGGGGGTCGCGATGAATTAACGCACTGGCGCCGGGCAGACCGAAAACAAACGACCGAACTTCAAACCCTAAACCCTAAACCCTAAACCCCAAACTCTGTGTGGGTCAGCTCCAAGCTCTGAGTCGGCGTGACACTAGCAAGCGTGACAAAAGCGATCGAAACCTGGGGGGAGCGGCGCCAAAACAGCTTCGACACACCCGTCTTCGGGCGGTCATGGTTTAGGGTTTAGGGTTTAGGGTTTAGGGTTTAGGGTTTAGGGTTTAGGGTTTTAGGGTTTTAGGGTTTTAGGGTTTTAGGGTTTTAGGGTTTTAGGGTTTTAGGGTTTTAGGGTTTTAGGGTTTAGGGATAAGGTGGGATGCTACGGCAACTGTGCAAGAATTGCCACACTAGCTGGCATGCACTCAGACGCCGCTGCTGCTCTGCTTGGGTCAGGCGGTTCACAGCCACACGATGGTAGCCTTTGACACTCAGGATAGCATTGGCGGTCAAGTACTGCAGCCTTTTCAGCCTCCCAGACCAAGATGTCAGAGCCAGGCCGGACAATGGGCAGCTCAGCTCCTGAAAGCGATGCTGCTTCCAGCCAGTCAAGGCTGCATCACTTACCAAAGAAGCCATGCTCTTGCTCAGTCTGTCGCGCTTGTGCTGGAGCATCGCTGTGTGTGCCATAATGAGCGGTGTCTCCTTTTGGGAGGGCTTCGAACTTCTGGGCGGTAGCAGCCGTGAGCTTATAGACCGAGCAAAACACTGAACATCCCCAGACTCTTGGGCTGCCAAAGCCCTAAACCTATAAACCCTAAACACTACACCCTAAACGCTAAACGCTGAACCCTAAACCCTAAACCCTAAACCCTAAACCCTAAACCCTAAACCCGAAACCCTAAACCCTAAACCCTAAACCCGAAACCCTAAACCCTAAACCCTAAACCCAGCAGCTGGTCCAGAAGATGCTTCGCGTCGCAGACGCCCAGGATGGAATCTAGGCGATAGTTCTCCTGTAGGGTTTAGGGTTTAGGGTTTAGGGTTTAGGGTTTAGGGTTTAGGGTTTAGGGTTTAGGGTTTAGGGTTTAGGGTTTAGGGTTTAGGGTTCCAGGCTTTTTGGGGTCTTTAGGGTTTACAGGGTCTATAGGGTTTATAGAGTTTTCAGTGCTTATAGGGTTTATAGGGTTTACAGTGCTTATAGGGTTTATAGGGTATATAGGGTTTATGGGGTTTATCGGGTTTACAGGGTTTAACGGGTTTGCAGGGTTTATAGGGTTTATGGGGTTTATAGGGTTTATGGGGTTTATAGGGTTTAGGGATGAGGGCTTGAGGGGTGTAGGGTTTAGGGTGAAGTTAAGGCAACCATTCTAAAGGCAGGCAGGGTCTGTAGGGTTTAGGGAGAAGTTAAGGCAACCATAACAAAGGCACGTTCCGGGTTTGCGCGGGTTTAGGTTTGTGGGGTTTAGTTCTGGTGGGTTTTGGATGTTCCGCCACATATTGAGCTGGGAATTAGGGTTTGAGGCCCCCCACCCCTAAAACCCAAACCCCTAAACACCCCAAACCCCTGACCTTTACCTAGGACCCGGAGAAGGCCCTTATTTCCTTTTCCTAGGGTTGGGGTTCCCTAACCCTAAACCCTAAACCTTAAACCCTAAACTCTAAACCCTAAACCTTCTACAGGCCAACACCCCGCCACGCAGGCCTGCATGAATTTGTCCAGAAAGAAGGTGGAGGCGATCGGCGACGGGTCAGCCAGGCCGGTCGTTTCGATGAGCACGCCATCCTTTCTGTCCCTAAACCCTAAACCCTAGAACCCTAAACCCTCAACCCTAGAACCCTAAACCCTAAACCCTAAGCCTCGAACCATGAAACACGGGGTTGCAAGGGAAGAGCGCGGTGGGAACCTGCAAGCCTGAAAGGGTTTCAGGGTTAGGGTTTGAAGGTTTTAGGGCTTCACAACAGACAGCCCCTTGCGCAACCTGAAGCACGCTTTAGCCAAGCTCAACAACCGAAAGAAACAAAAGCAGGAAGGAACACCCTAAACCCTAAACCCTAAACCCCAAACCCTAAACCCTAAACCCTAAACCCTAAACCCTAAACCCCAAACCCCAAACCCTAAACCCTAAACCCTAAACCCTAAACAGCAGCCGAACTCATCGTCATACACTGCCGGGCCCTAGGGCGACTGCGCTACCTTCTGCCGGGGCGCGAGATGGCTACCGCGGGCCTGGACTTCCTTCAGCACCTCCACACCGGAGTCTGGGGTTTAGGGTTTATAGGGTTTAGGGTTTAGGGTTTAGGGTTTAGGGTTTAGGGTTTAGGGTTTAGGGTTTAGGGTTTAGGGTTTAGGGTTTAGGGTTTAGGGTTTAGGGTTCGGGTTCAGGGTTTCGGGTTCTGGGGTTTAGGGTTTAGGCTTAAGAGTTTAGGCTTCAGCTTTAAAGGGGGTCAAGGTTTTAGGATTCAGGTTTGGACTTCTTGGCTGTCCTGCATTCTGTCTCGGAGTTTGGAGCGGAATTAAGCGACCGATACCTTAGAGGGTTTAGGGTTTAGGGTTTAGGGTTTAGGGTTTAGGGTTTAGGGCTCAGTCCCCAACAGAGATGCATGGAGATCGAGTATCGGGCCGACTACGGCGCGCATCGCATCTTATCCGCGAAAAGCTCACAAAAATGAAGAAGAAGAAGTGCTGCGAAGATGATCTCGTCTGCACCTTACACACCGTAAACCTTGCAAAGCCTGAACAACTGGCTAAGCCTCAACCCTAAACCCTAAACCCTAAACCCTAAACCCTAAACCCTAAACCCTAAACCCTCTAAGGTATCGGTCGCTCCGTGCAGGGCCTTCTGCATGCCTTGGATGAAGTCCCCGCGGAGGGTGCAGCAGATGCAGCCTGTAGCCACTTGCCAACCCTGAACCCTGAACCCTGAACCCTAAACCCTAAACCCTAAGCGCTAAACCCTAAACCCTAAACCCTAAACCCTCAACCCTAAACCCAAACCCTAAACCCTAAACCCTAAACCCTAAACCCTAAACCCTAAACCCTAAACCCTAGCCCTAAACCCTAAACCCTAAACCCGAAACCCTAAACCCTAAACCCTAAACCCTAATTACGAAGGGTCAAGGTGGATTGGCTTGCTGGGTATACCTACTGGTCCTTCTTAGGGAATGAGGGAGTTAGGTACCTTATATCCCCCTGTTGGGGGGGTTGCGATATTCGGCATACCTCATTGAAAAGGGGGTCTATATGGTTCCTTACTATCGTACGCCTCATACAAACCCTTTAAGGGAATCTAGCCTAAACCCAAAACCCTCAACCCTAAACCCTAGATTTACAAGGCCTAAGGACCCAAAGCTCCAAACCCTGAGACCTAAACCCTGAACCCTAAACCCTAAACCTACACCCTAAACCCTGAACGCTAAACCCTAAACCCAGAACCTCCCTCAACACGCGCACGGGTGGCCATTGTTCATCTCCACGACGGTCTCGGTGGTTCGCTCGGCCTACGAAGGCGCTTCACTGGCTGGTTCTTAGTCGGGAATGAGGGAATGAGGTACCCATTTTAACCCGTTAAAGGGTATATTCTATGGGCCTAATATTCTGTTATTCCCTAGTGAGAACCAGCCAGTTCAGGCGGGGGCAGGGGGAGGAGGGGGTTCGGGTGCCGGGTTTAAGGTGAGAGTAGCGCTTAGGAAGCAGAAGTACTCTTAAACCCTAAACCCTGAACCCTGAACCCTGAACCCTGAACCCTAAACCCTAAACCCTAAACCCTAAACCCTACCTATCCCCTAAAACCTAAAAGAAACCTGTGGATCTAGAGGGCTTCGGGGCTTCAAATGGCCAGAACAGGGATCCACATCGCCCATGGGCACCCTAAACCCTGAACCCCACAACCTGATAACCCTATAACCCTATAACCCCCAAGAGCCTATAACTCTATAACCTCAAACCCTGGCCCTAAACCCTAAACCCTCAAAACGCCTTTTGGGAATTCATGTGGTCCCTGGGGTCGGCTTGGGCGAAGATAAGGATTGCGCTTTAGGGTTTAGTATTTAGGGTCTAGGGCTTAAGGTTCATGACTTTGATAAAGCCCCAAGCTCTCAACAATCCTAAACACCTATGTAGTAACACTCAACACTAAAACCCTACACCCCCTTAATCCTAAACCTACGCCCAAACACAAAACCTTAAAGTTCATGACAGAACCATAACACAACAAGGAACACAACAAGCTCTCAACTCTAACCACACCCTGAACTCTTAACCCTGAATTATCCCTTGACCCTTAACCCGACACCCTAAACCCTAAACCCGACACCCTGAAACCCCAAGCTTCCTTCCGGATATTCTGCTCTTGACGAAACAACAAATCGGCTGGCCGCATGCTGCACACCCGCCCGTGGTGTTTCGGTGGCCAGGAGTTTTTGGTCCACGATGTTGTGGCAGCTGGAGATGCAATTCATGACCTCGCTCGCAGGCTTGTCGCAGAGCCGCATCAATAGGGCGGCCGTGAAGGTGACTGATCGGTGCGCGCCATTCATGCAATGGATGAGAACAGTGTTTAGGGTTTAGGGTTTAGGGTTTAGGGAGAGCCCGTTGAGTAGATCCTGAAGAACCTCGCCCAAGACGGGCACAAGGTCTTTCAAAGGGATATCTGCTTGAGAAACTCCTGTCCCGTCGAAGGTAGGGTAAATCTTGAGGCCCAAACCGTCGTGAACGGAGATTTAGCTCCAGCTCATCAACACCTTGTATAAGGCCTTCAAGCCCTGAGCCCTTAGCCGTACTAAAGCCCCAGCCCCAAACCCTTGGCCCTCAAGCCCGAACGCCCTGACGCCCCTAAACCCTAAACCTAAACCGTACACCCTAAACCCTAAACCCTAAACCCTACACCCTAAACCCTAAACCCTATAGGAAACTCCAAAGCCCTGGGAACAGCCTGCTCCACAAGGGTTGAGTCGATACCGACCTCGCCGAACCTGGGCTAAGGAGTTAATTGAGCTAAACCCTAAACCCTAAACCCTAAACCCTAAACCCTAAACCCTAAGCCCTAAGCCCTAAACCCTAAACCCTAAACCCTAAACCCTAAACCCTAAACCCTAAACCGAAAACGCAGGAGCTGGTGAGGGTTCCAGGGCGTCTTGGTCTGGGGTATTTTGGGAGATGATGCTCTCGAGGTTTAGGGATCTTAGGGTTTAGAGGGTTGAGGGTGTGGCTTAAGAGATAAGGCTGTAGGGCTTCAGGGTTAAGCCCTTAGGGCTAAACCCAAAACCCTAAACCCTACACCCAAAACCCTAAACCCTAAAGCCGCCTTTCCTTTAAGCACGAAGCACACAATCCGTTGAACGCTCACCAAACCCAGCAACTCGTTCTCGATGACGGCAATCCGCTTCCCGTGCTGATCGCGCAAGATTCCTCGTTAGGGTTTTGGGTTTAGGGTTAACCTAGGGTTTAGGGTTTGGGGCTTAAGGTTTAGGGTTTGGGGTTTAGGGTTTGGGGTTTGGGGTTTAGGGGAAAGGGTTTAGGGTTTAGGGTTTAGGTTTGGGGTTTGGGTTTGGGGCTTGGGGTTTGGGGTTTGGGGTTTAAGGTTTAGCTGGTTGAAGGCGGGAGTCGTAGACTGTGCTGCTGCAAACTCTAGCAAGAACTGCACGTTGGCCTTTGCAAGGGGCCAAAACATCCAAGTCGGAACAGTCGACCCTTTTGGCCCATCTCCGAAGACGCTGAACTTTTCAGAAACTTCATATGTTGAAAGCCAAAAACCCCTCACGATCTACAACCCTACACTAGAACCCTCAAACCCTGCAACCCTAAACCCTACACCCTACACAATAAACGCTAAACCCTAAACCCTAAACCCTATCTAAGATTCGTGCCTCAGCTTGGATATGAGCGGAAGCCACCTTAAACCCTAAATCCTGAACCCTGACTTCTCAGGCACGTCTCGGTTCAACAAGGTCGTCTTCCCACTGCCCAGGAAGCCGGTGATCACTGTCACAGGGACCTCCGGGAGGGTTCTGGGGTGGAGGGTTAGAGGGCCCTAAGCCCTATAAGGGTTCAGGGTTCAGGGTTCAGGGTTTAGGGTTTAGGGTTTAGGGCTTAGGGTTTAGGGTTCTAAGCCCTCAGCCCTAAAGCCCTAAGCCCGAAGCCTGAAGCCCTACAGACCCGACAAGCCCTGCAAACCCTATAAAGCCGAAAAACTAAACCCTAGGGTTTAGGGTTTAGGGTTTAGAGTTTAGGGTTTAGGGTTTAGGGTTCCTAAGTATGTACCCCTATAATGAACCCTTTCAAGCCCAGAACTCCCTCCACCTCCCAAGCCCAAAACCCCAAACCCCCTAAGCTCCCTAAATCCGCTCAGGATTGACTTCGGTCCGCTCAGGGACTTCTTGCTTCGCGGGTAGAAGACCAAGCGATTTTTCAAGTCGAGGTTCAGGGCGGTTCAGGGTGTAGGGGGTCTTGGGTTTAGGGGGTCTCGGATTTCGGGTTTCCATTAGGGTGCCTAGTTGGGGGGTTTGGGGGGTTTGGGGGGGTTTAGGGGGGGAAGGTTTAGGGTTTAGGTTCAGGGGGTTTAGGGGTTTAGCGTGTAGGGTTTAGGGTTTAGGCTGGGGGGTTTGGGAGGGTTCGGGTGGTTTAGGGATTTTGAGGGCTTAGGGGATGTTGCGCTTCGGCATAATGCACACCCCTCATACCCTAACCTTAAGCTTACAGGGTTGAGGGATCAGGATAGGGTTCAGGGTTTAGGCTTTAGGGACACACCCCTAAATCCTTGAGGGATCCGGGCATTCTGAGGCCCTAAATGCAATGCAGATAGTGTTCACTGTTGCGTCGGGGGGGGGGGGGGGGCGCCAGACATGCGAAGCCCAGCTGATGGTGCACTTTGCGCAGACCACCGAACAGCAGCAAGAGACCTTCTATTCGGGATGCCATAAGGGGACTCCGTACATGGAGGCACCTTTCGACCCCCCGGCTTCCTTGAGCCTTCCTCCGGCCCAGAACCCCCCTAACCCTAAACCCTAAACCCTAAAGGCCCCCTTGCGGGTCCCTGAATAGATGCTATACATGCTCGGCCTCACTGTACAAGTGCTGTCGCTGTGTGCGCTGGCTCAAGGCCGCAAGGCCAGCAAAAGTCGATCCAAACAGTTTGGGAGCCCCGGAGGGCCCTGTTGGGGGCTGAGGGGTGTAGGTTTAGGGTTTAGGGTTTAGGGTTTAGGGTTTAGGGTTTAGGGTTTAGGGTTTAGGGTTTAGGGTTTAGGGTTTAGGGTTTAGGGTTTAGGGTTCAGGGTGTGGGATCCGGGTGAAACAGAAAACAGACTGTCAATGCTGCTAGGCATCACTGTACCATTGACAGCGTGTCTCCACGCGAAATAGCATCTTGTTCTTGGGCAAGAGCTTGCTAATTCGTGCAAGTTGGCTTGACCAGCTGCCTGCAACTTATCCGAAGCCTCACACCTTGTCTATAGGATGGCCCTCAAACCCCTCTGAAAAACATTCCTGAATATGATCCTCTTGAACCCAATAAGGGGAAAATATGGAAGACATCCAGTGGCCCTGCCTAACTCACCCTAAGCCCTAAACCCCCACACCCCAAACCCTAAACCCTACCCCTTAAACCCCGAAACCCTAAACCCTAAACCCCAAACCCCAAAACCCCAAACCCCTAAACCCCTAAACCCCAAACCCCCAAACCCCTAAACCCAAACCCTAAACCCTACCCCCTAAAACCGAAACCCTAAACCCTAGACCCCAAACCCCCAAACCCCTAAACCCCAAATCCTCAAACCCCTAAACCCCCAAACCCTAAACCCCTACATCCTCAAGCCGCAGACTTTTACCGATCAACTCGGTGAGTTGGGCGGATCGAGGCCTCTCAGCTTCCTCGGGTGCCGAGGTGAAGCAAAGGGTTTAGGGTTTAGGGTTTAGGGTTTAGGGTTTAAGGTTGAGGGGGTTTAGGGGTTTAGGGGGTTTAGGTGGTTTAGTGGCTTTAGGGGTTTTAGGGCGTTAGGGGCTTTAGGGGCTTTAGGGGTTTTAGGGCGTTAGGGGCTTTAGGGGCTTCAGGGGCTTTAGGGCGTTAGGGGTTTCAGGGGCTTTAGGGGTTTTAGGGCGTTAGGGGTTTCAGGGGCTTTAGGGGTTTAGGGCGTTAGGGGTTTTAGGGGTTTCAGGGGTTTTGGGGGTTTAGGGGTTTTGGGGGTTTAGGGTTTAGGGTTTAGGGTTTACGGGTTTAGGGCTTAGGGGTTTTTGAGGTTTGGGGTTTGGGGGTTTGGGGGTTTGGGGTTTAGGGTTTGGAGTTTGGGGTTTAGGGTCTGGGGTTTAGGGGTTTAGGGGCTTAGGGTGTAGGGTTTGGGGTTTGGTGTTTAGGGGTTTGGGGTGTATGGTTTGGGGTTTAGGAGTTTAGGGGGTTTAGGGTGTAGGGTGGAGGGGTCTGGGGTTTATGGTTTAGGAACCCGTTGTGGGATTTCAGGCAACCTGACTTCGAAGGAAAAAACCCAGACCTGGCAGCTTGGAGCCACATGAAACCCCATTACTTACCACAAGGGCTTAGGGTTTAGGGTTTTGGGCTTAGGGTGTATATAGGGTTTAGGGTGTAGGGTTTGTAGGGTATTTCTCTTATCGAAAGCCTTAAAATTCCACGAACCTCAAGCCTGCCCGAAATCTTCTTCTAGGACCCAGAGGAGGCACTGCTTCCCTAAGATGTAAGCCCCTTTAAACCCAAAAGGGCACCCTTTTTGTTCCTGCGCTACTCTTGGGCCTAGTCTTTTAGGGTTTAGGGTTTAGGGTTTCCGAAATCTTCTTCTAGGACCCAGAGGAGGCACTGCTTCCCTTCGAAGATTGAGGTTCCCTTGTAAGCCCCTTGAAGCCCAAAAGGGCACCCCTTTTTGTTCCTGGGCCACTCTTGGGTTTAGGGTTTAGGGTTTAGGGTTTAGGGTTTAGAGTGTAGGGTGTAGGGTGTAGGGTTTTTAGCTCCAGAATTAGGGCTGAGGGTTTAGGGTTTGCGGCTTAGGCCCTGCAAACGCTGGAAAATTGGGATGAAAAAAGCCAAAAAACAAAAAAACAAAAAAAAGTGCCACATGGGATAGGCCGTAGCTGCCATAATTTCCAGACGATGCCCCTGCCGTTGTCAGCGAAGCTCCACTTCAAGAGGCTGCCCACCTCTTCCTGGGAGTGCAAGAACTTTTAGGGTTCAGGGCACCCCTTAAACCCCTAAACCCTAAACCCCACACCCTCAAGCCAACAGAGCTTAAATCGCCGCCCGCGTTGGGCTCGAATTCCGCCTAAACCCTAAACCCTCAACCCTCAACCCTAAACCCCAAACTGCCCCAAACCACCATCCCTCCCTTCGCTAGGAGGTTTGGTCACGGAGTGGTCGAGCAAGCTGGGGCGAAAGGTTTGCGCCGGGCTAAGAGCTAAATCTTGAATCCCAAACAACCAGGGGTTTAGGGATTAGGGCTTAGGATTCGGGGTTTAAGGTCTATATATATAAATCTATGATCTATGTATATATATATATATATATTTTGTACATATATGGATACGGTTTGAAAGGGGTTCATATGGGGTTGATAATAATAAGGTTTAGGGCTTAGGGTACCGCACAGGGTTTACAGGTTACTAAGTTACAGGGCTTGGAAGGATGCTTTCGAAGCCCGGGCTTGTCAACGCTAAGCGGGTTAGGGCTTAGGGTTTAGGGTTTAGGGTTTAGGGTTTAGGGTTTAGGGTTTAGGGTTTAGGGTTTAGGGTTTAGGGTTTAGGGTTTAGGGTGTAGGGTGTAGGGTGTAGGGTGTAGGGTTTAGGGTTACATCAAGGGTCCCAAGGGGGGGACCCTTACAGGGGACCTTCTGGGGCTCCCTAGGGATACATGGGGGTTATATAGGGGTTTAGGGGGTGATATCCCTGAAAGACGTCGGATTCACGAGGAGGCCATGTTCTCAGCTCTGTACCCCTTTTGACGCGCCGCGCAAGCTCGGCGTTGACCGGCAACACTGCTCCTCCAGAACAGAATCTAGGCTGCCCAGTAACCAAGGCTTAAAAAAGGTGCCCCTTTTTTGCTTAAAAGGGGTTTATAAGGGAACCTAAAGCCCCCAAAAAAGGGAATAAGGGTACTACTGGGCATCCTAGGAAGCGTGTTCAGCGGCAGTCGATCACACACACACACTTCTTGGAAGGCATGCTTGTGTGTTCTTTCGAGTGGAAAGCGACCCGCGTGAGGAGAGGCCGCTGCCAAAGATATGAACCTACGGTTTAGGGTACGGTTTAGGGTTTAGGGTTTAGGGTTTAGGGTTTAGGGTTTAGGGTTTAGGGTTTAGGGTCTACAAACACAACAAAGGCAGCAAGTAAGCCTAGATTGAATACATTGACGGTCCAGGAGGGGTCTGAAGTAAGGGTCAAAAGCTTGGGCCGGAGGCTTGTCATGTCCAACGTTCTACAGTTGTGGAAAGGCTCACCGATCGGGAAGGCGCTCCCTGACCTCTTCCAGAAGGTTCATCTTGTCGAGGGCCTGGACAATCTTCTCTGACACGTCACTTGCAGCTATGTAGTTCAGATCTTTGTCCACGCCGTTGATGTACACCAGCGACGGGGCGAAGGCAAGCTGGCACAAAGACCTGCCTTCTTCGTCAGGGGGCTCCGGTGGATACACTTCGCAGAGCTTGACCTCCACTCCCCTTAAAACTCCCTAAACCCTAAACCCTAAACCCTAAAAAAATATTTTTAATATCCTCTATAAACAAATATGAAAATAATTCCCAAGGGGGGTATAGTGACGGGCAGGAGCGAGATTTCTCGTTGGTGCGACTGCACAAACCTCAGCTCCTCGAACGTCTCGAAGCCAGCGCCTGTCCTTTGACCATACTGTGAACTGCAGAATGCCACCAGCACTCCTTGGTATTTAGGGTTTAGGGTTAAAGGGTTTAGGGTTTAGGGTTAAGGTTTTAGGGTTTAGGGCCCAGTAGCCATATTAGTTTATAAGGGAACCTTGAACCTTGAACCCTAAACCCTAAACCCTAAACCCTACCCCAAAAAAGGTATACCATGGGGCGACCAAGACTCTTGCTTTTACAAGGCCGCGGGCCGTCTGCAGGCCAAAGTCCTCACCCGGACCTGCCTTGACCATGAAGGTCCTGATCGCTCACCCTAAACCCTAAGCCCTAAGCCCTAAGCCCTAAGCCCTAAGCCCTAAGCCCTAAGCCCTAAACCCAAACCCTAAATCTGACCATAAACGGTCCTGATCCCTCTTTTCTGGAGCTCCTCTTCGACCTTTGCGAAGTAGGCTATTCTGCTCTCCTTCCCAGCTTTCCCCAGACACGGGTTTAGGGTTTAGGGTTTAGGGTTGAGGGTTTAGGGTCCATCTGTAGTACCACTCTGGAACTCTACCCAAAAACCCTGCTTACAAAAGACTTCTGGGCAATTACCTCATGACGAACAAAGACAACAGCAAGTGCAAAACACGGCACCTGAAACCCAACTGCAAGAATTCAAGATCGCAGAGTTTGAAGGCATAGGGCTTAGGGTTTAAGGTTCAGCGTTTCGGGCTTAGGGTTTAGAATTTAAGGTTTAGGGTTTAGGGTTGCGGGCGTCGGGTTTAGGAGCGCTACTGTTCCTTGCCAAGCTTGGCGTACTTGTTTCGGCAACATTCCGCTGCCGCTGCCTGCCTGCTTTTTCTTTGGCCTGCTTGTCTTGAGGCAACATTCTGGTGCCCGCCTGAGACGTTTTCTTTCTGGCCTGCTTAGCAGGCAACATTCGTCCAGTCTGTAACGGCTGCTTATCCGACCAGCGGGAATTCTTTAACTTTCGCAAGTTCAGAAGATGAGTTACCCGAACCCTAAACCCTAAACCCTAAACCCTAAACCCTAAAACTTAAACGAGTAAATAGAAGACTGCTAAAAACCTGAAATCGGCTCCTTGTCGAAGCGCCCTGACAGCATCACCGTGTCGCGGGCGGGCGCGATGCTCTCTGGCGATCTTGCGGTTCCTTTTGGGCGCTCCACACTGCCGGCGACCACCTCAGGGTTTAGGGTTTAGGGTTTAGGGTTTAGGGTTTAGGGTTTGGGGTTTAGGGTTTAGGGTTTAGCCCACAACCTCCTCCTCCTCCTCCGCCAGCGCATCCTGCATGTCAGCCACCATGTCTTCCAAGATTTCTGCAGGGCCCTTCACCACATCCTGCAGGCAGCTGCAACAGCTGCAGCTGCAACACGTGCAGAGCTTCATCGCGGGCAGGCCCTGCTTGGACAAAAAAGCTTCTGGCCGAACCAGCTGACTCTACGCTTGTGCCGACATGTTCGCCGGAAACGACGACCCTTCGAGCTTTTCCTGTTGCTCGAACCAGCTGCGTGACTTCATTCAAGCACGACAGCTCTTAGTTGCTGAGTTCATAAGCCCCCCAAAAAGTGTACACTTTCAGTTCTGTAAGGGAATAGAGTATCCCCAAAAGTGTAGAGTGTGCTCACTCAGCTGCTAAGACACATATCTACCGTTCGCAAGTGTCTCAGATGCAAGAGCCACTTAGAACATCAGGACGATTTTTCTTATCATATGACCATGGCTGTTGTCTACAAGCCCAAGACCCAGTCCCATACTCCCCTTCGAACCTTAATAAGAATAACTACTTTGCTGTCCCCTTGGGTCTTTATATAAACCCTAAACCCTAAACCCTAAACCCTAAACCCTAAACCCTAAACCCTAAACCCTAAACCCTAAACCCTAAACCCTAAACCCTAAACCCTAAACCTTACAACCTAAACCCTAAACCCTAAACCCTAAGGGGCTATAGAGTCGCGAGTACCAGGCCAAGCGTCCATCCGATGTGCGGCGTCGAGCTGCCGCCAATTAGAAAGCAGGCCTGCCTTGTCGAAGATCAGAACCTCAGTTCGGCCCCTAAACCCTAAACCCTAGACCCTAGACCCTAAACCCTAAACCCTAAACCCTAGACCCTAAACCCTAAATCTGTACTTAAAGATCCTCAAAAAGAGAGTTCCTAAATATTACCCTCTGAAACCCAACAAATAAGGAAAAATGCAAGATGTCCCAAAGGCCTACCTACTCAGTTGAAACCCTCATAAGGGTTTGGGGTTTGGGGTTTAGGGTCGAGGGTCCGCGGTTTGGGCTTTGGTGTTTGGTGTATAGCGTTTGGGGTTTAGGGTTTGGCGTTTTTAGGCTTTCGGGTTTAAGGGCTTGGGGTTTGAGGGAAGTTACGTACATGGTCCCTTGTTTTCTTCAAAGGATTTTGAAGTATGGGGTCTTGGGTTCTAGAAAAGGGTATGGTAGAAAAGGGTTTGGGGTTGGGGCTCAAGGGTTTGGAGTCAGGGTTTGGGATTGGGGGTTGAGGGTTTGGGCGTTTGGTTAGGGTTTAGGTTTTGGGGGTTGGGGGTTTTGGAAGGGGTAGGGGATTTGGAGCTTAGGGTTTAGAATAATATTAGTCTTGGGCCTAGGGTATAGGTATAGGATCTAGCTTCGAGATTACGGTTCAGAGGTTTTTTTTCTGGGATTTTGGGTTTAGAGTCTGGGGTTCACGCTCAAGGTTTCTTCCTGAAGGATAAAAAACAAAAAACGATCCCATGGGCCGTACCTCGGAGCCTGCAGCTTTCGATTGAACTCGCTTGTGCACCTGGGTAGCCCAGGAACCATGTTGTACTAAGCTTTACAAGGGAACCCTAAACCCTAGACCCTAAACCCTAAACCCTAAACCCTGGGCCCTAAACCCTAAACCCTAAACCCTAAACCCTAAACCCTAAACCCTAAACCCTAAACCCTGAACCCTAACAAAAGAAAAGGCAAAGGCCACCACTGGGCCACCCAGGCACTCAATCTTGTTCAAGATGAAGTCGACATCCTCCGCGCGCGAGGCCTCCATATCTTCAACCCGCAGATTCCGCAGGCTGTCTGTCCTAGGTTGGCCCATGATAGAAACCCAGGGTTTAAAGTTTAGGGTTTTGGGTTTAGGGCCTGAATCGGCGGCCTGAACCCGTTTTATTCTTTGGACTTTCAGGGTTGAGGGCTTAAAGTTTGGGGTTTAGGGCCAGGGCTTAGGGTACAGGAACCCCAAGAAAAAGGAGAAAGCACAAAACCTCCCGAAAATCCTACCAGGCGTCATGTCTTCCAAGACCTCCCTGGAGTGCATCTTGACCTCGGCTTGCTGGGTTCATAAGCCCCACCCCCCCCCCCCCCACCAAAGAAAAAAAAGTGTGCACTTTCAGTTCTAGGGTTTAGGGTTTAGGGTTTAGGGTTTAGGGTTTAGGGTTTAGGGTTTAGGGTTTAGGGTTTAGGGTTTAGGGCTTAGGGTTTAGGGTTTAGGGTTTAGCTTCCAAAAAACGTGTACACTTTCAGTTCTATAGGGGGTTAGGCTATCCCAAAAAGTGCAAAGTGTACTCATTCAGCTACTCAGTGACATGCTGCTTGAGGCACACCTCATCAGCCTTCACTAGCTCCGCAACGCACCATGCTCCTCTGCTGCTTGCGAAAACCCTAAACCCCAAACCCGATAAACCCTAAACCCTATCCCGATGAAAGGGGTTTAGAGCTTGTAGGGCTCAGCAAAACAATCAAAAGTACCAAGGGCCTACACCGAGACCAACCCTAAACCCTAAACCCAGAACCCGGAACCCTGAACCCTAGACCCTCAGGAAGAAAATGCTCCCAAGAACTCGCCGGGCTCTGCTGAAGAGCGCAAAGCCGGCGTCCACCGCCACGACCTGCCCCCCCAAACCGCTGGGGTTTAGGGTTTAGGGTTTAGGGTTTAGGGGTTAGGGTTTAGGGTTTAGGGCCTAGGGTTTAGGGTTTAGGGTTTAGGTTTTAGGCCCAAAATTTTCAATTCAGAAGGTGTCTCTCCTGGGAGAAGTCGGGGTCCCGTTGGGCCAGCAGCGCCATCATGTCGTCGAACCTTTTCGGGCTTTAGGGGGGAAAAGGGGTTGAGGGTTTAGGGTTCCGGGTATAGGGTTTAGGGTTTAGGGTTTAGGATAAGATATTGCAAGGTTTTCCCCTCCTCCGGTTCTTCAAACCCCGGAATCATCTAAACGATCCCTAAAGACCGAATTACCACACAAAGCGACCCAAATTTGGGGATCCAACTTCATGAGTCCCTAAACCCTAAACCCTGGGTTTAGGGTTTAGGGTTTAGGGTTTAGGGTTTGCCGCAAAGGCCAGGCCCAGCCCTTAAATCCCCTGCGCCCCCCCCAAGACAAGGCGCCAAGAAGGGGATCCGCAATTGAACCCTGACCTGAACTTCAAGAAGCGAAACTCCACACTCCTCAAGAGCCGTTTCCCCTAGGGTTTGGGGTATAGGGTTCAGGGTTTTAGGGTTTAGGGTTTTAGGGTTTAGGGTTTAGGGCTTACGGCATGGTGTGCTGTGCAGGGTTGATAAGCAAGTCGGGTGGGTCGCAGGAGTCGTAGGTCCCTGGCAAGATGGGCTCAGGGCTTGTGAGGGTTTGGGGGCCCAGGGCCGATCTTCCCTCAATCTTGCAAGCCGGAACCCTAAACCCTACCTAGGGTTTAGGGTTTAGGGCTTAGGGTTTAAGGTTTAAGGTTTAGGGTTTAGGGTTTAGGGTTTAGAGTTTAGGGTTTAGGGTAACCCTAAACCCTAAAATCTGAAAACCCTGAACCTCGATGTCCCCCGTGGCCAGGGGGCTTGTTCATCTCGCAGCCAATGCCTTTTCTTCCAGGCAACTTCGGGCTTTCGTTGAGGGCTTAGGGTTTAGGGTTTAGGGTTTAGGGTTTAGGGTTTAGGGTTTAGGGTTTAGGCTTTCGGTGTTTTGTTGGGGCGTGCCTAGGGTTTGGGGGTTTAGGGGTTTAGGAGTTTAGGGGTTTAGGGGTTTAGGGATTTAGGGATTTAGGGATTTAGGGGTTTAGGGGTTTAGGGGTTTAGGGGTTTAGGGGTTTAGGGGTTTAGGGGTTTAGGGGTTTAGGGGTTTAGGGGTTTAGGGGTTTAGGGGTTTAGGGTTTGGTATAGGGGTGTGTAGGGGTACGACTGCAAATTATTCTGCCTACAAGAGAAGTTTGTTCAAGACAAGCGTCAATGTTGCTGAAAACAAGTGTTTTAGTGTTACTTGTGACAAGCGTTTCCAATGGCGATGGTTTTGAATCAAAGCAACTTGGGTGTATTATGAAAACATGTTTACATTACTTTCAATTTTCTATGAGAACTACCCCTAAACCCTATATAAACCCTAAACCCTAAACCCTAAACCCTAAACCCTAAACCCTAAACCTTTGCTCTCAAGCGCGAGATGCTTTGGCCTCCCGCAGACAGGGGCGGCGTGTTGTTGAGCATCTTTGGGAGCCCACAGTCGCAGGCCGGATGCACCTTTTAGGGTTTAGGGTTTAGGGTTTAGGGTTTAGGGTTTAGGGTTAGGGTTTAGGGTGCGCCTGTATGGGTGCATTTGGAGGTTCAGGGTACTACCTAGGAGTCTAGGGGTACCCTTTTTGGAGGTTTAGGGTTTAGGGTTTAGGGTGTAGGGTTTAGGGTTTAGGGTCCCAATTATATCGGCACTTATAAGGAACCTAAGCCCCCTAAGCAGGATACAAGTAGATTTACAATTGGGGTTACAAGTACCCATGAACTTCGTGTGGCAGCTGATGTCAGTGCGCGTGTCACCTACGCATCTCTCTTATGAACTCTCCTAAACCCTAAAACCCTAATTAAACCCTAATTAAACCCTAATTAAACCCTAATTAAACCCTAATTAAACCCTAAAACCCTAATTAAACCCTAATTAAGCCCAAACCCTAAACCCCGAAACATCCGAAGGAACTAAACTCTAAACCGCAGTTCCCGAAACCCCTGGCCTCACCCGTGGCAGAGTCCTGGTCCATGCCGACATTTTCCTGGGTTTAAAGTTAACCACTAAAAGTTAACCACGAAACCCTAAACCCTGAACCCTAAACCCTAAACCCTAAACCCTAAACCCTAAACCCTAAACCCTAAACCCTAAACCCAGGGTTTGGGGTTTGAGGTTTGAGTTTGGGGCTTCGGGTGTAGGTTAGCCCAATTCCGGTTGAGGGTTTACGCACGAAAGCTGCCCGAAATCACCAAGCCCCAAACCCTATAGTTTAGGGTTTAGGGTTTAGGGTTTAGGGTTTAGGGTTTAGGGTTTAGGGTTTAGGGTTTAGGGTTTAGGGTTTAGGGTTTAGGGTTTAGGGTTTAGGGTTTAGGGTTTAGGGTTTAGGGTTATAACCCTAAGCCCATCTTCACCCTAGGCCCATCTTCACTTTGCAATACCCTAACCCTAAGCCCTAAACCCTAAACTTTAGACTCTAGACCCTAAACCCTTACTGCTGCACTCATCCGTTACTGCTGCAAATCGTTACCAATAACAAAGCCGAGTTTCGCAGATGCCGGCGTGCTGGTTCACAGCGAAAGCACAGATCCTCGGGCTTTAGGGCCTTGTACGGATAAAGAGCTTCGGGGTTTACAGGAAGGTTCTGGAACCGAACCGGAACCGCACGAACCGAACCGCCACGAACCGAACCGCCAAAACCGGCCAGCAAACACGAACCGTAGGAACCGCGAACCGCAAGCGAACCGAAAACCGGAACCGTTTCGACAGCGAACCGGTTTCGGCCAGGAGCCCAAGTCAAATAGAGCATGATACTGAAAGGTTTGGGTCCCTCCAAACTTGTTTTGAAACAATCAAACTGTCGCAAAAACATGACTCGGTTCTCGGCTAACCCTCCAAAATAAGGCCTGAAGATATCATGGTTCTATCCGGATTTTCAGCCTAGAATCAAGTTTTGGCCCCTTCAAACTCGTCATTGGAGATGCGCACAGAGCCCAAACATTTCTGTCACGATTGGAGTGAAGAGGTTTTGTCGAGGTTTCGAGGTCCTTAAACCTACACTGCATGGTCACAGGGGCCAGAAAAAACTCCCCTTACCTGAACTTTCTATTGTTTCGGGGTACGCAGGGCAGGTTTCCAGGTTTGGACCTCCCAAAACGTGCAGGCTTCCAGGTTTGGGCCCCCCAAACATGCAGGTTTCCAGGTTCCTCCCAAAACGTGCAGGTTTCCAGGTTTGGACCTCCCCAAACGTGCAGGTTTCCCCAAAACGTGCAGGTTTCCAGTTTGGACCTCCCAAAACGTGCAGGTTTCCAGGATTGGACCTCCCAAAATGTGCAGGTTTCCCGGTTTGGACCTCCCCAAACGTGCAGGTTTCCAGGTTTGGACCTCCCAAAACGTGCAGGTTTCCAGGCTTGGACCCCCCAAAACGTTGACGTTTCCAGGTTTGGACCCCCCAAGACGTGCAGGTTTCCAGGTTTGGACCCCCAAAACGTGCAGGTTTCCAGGTTTGGACCCCCAAAACGTTGACGTTTCCAGGTTTGAGCCCCTTAAAACGTGCAGGTTTCCAGGTTTGGACCTGCAAAACGTGCAGGTTTCCCACCAAAACGCGCAAGTTTGCAGGTTTGGACCCTTTTTGGGGGTCCAAGCCTGGAAACCTGCACGTTTTGGGGGGGGTCCAAGTCTGGAAACCTGCACGTTTTGCTGGAAACCTGCACGTTTGGGGGATCCAAACCTGGAAACGTTTTGGGAGGTCCAAACCTCGAAACCTGCACGTTTGGGGATCCAACTGCAGGTTTGGGGAGTCCAAACCTGGAAACCTGCACGTTTTGGGGGGTCCAAACCCGGAAACCTGCACGTTTGGGGGCTCCAAACCTGGAAACCTGCACGTTGTGGGGGGGGTCCAAAGCTGGAAACCTGCAGTTCGCATGGTATGGGCCATGTGAATGGAGCCAACCCACAGCTCGCATGGCCTTCAGTTCGCATGGGCCATGTGAACGGAACTGACCTTCAGTTCAGTTCGCTCCAAACCTGGAAACCTGCAGGTTTCCAGGTTTTGGACCCCCCAAACGTGCAGGTTTCCAGGTTTGGACCCCTGAAACGTGCAGGTTTCCAGATTTGGACCTGCCAAAACGCAGGTTTGGACCCCCCAAAACGTGCAGGTTTCCAGGTTTGGACCCCCCAAACGCGCAGGTTTGCAGGTTTGCAGGTTTGGACCCCCCAAACGTGCAGATTTCCAGGTTTGGCCCCCCCAAAACGTGCAGGTTTCCAGGTTTGGACCCCCCAAACGTGCAGGTTTGCAGGTTTGGACCCCCCCAAACGTGCAGTTTCCAGGTTTGGACCCCCCAAAACGTGCAGGTTTCCAGATTTGGACCCCCCAAAACCTGCAGGTTTCCCCAAAACGTGCAGGTTTCCAGGTTTGGACCCCCAAAACGCAGGTTTCCAGGTTCCGTGCGTGCAGGTTTCCAGGTTTGGACCCTGGTCGGCTTGCACTTGCCGACCTAGCCCTGACACAAAGAGAACCCCAAACCCTGGTTGAGGGTCCCGAACCCAGGAAACATCAACGTTTTGGGGGGTCCAAACCTGGAAACCTGCACGTTTTGGGATCTCCAAACCTGGAAACCTGCACGTTTTGGCAGGTCCAAACCTGGAAACCTGCAGGTCCAAACCTGGAAACCTGCACGTTTTGGGGGGTCCAAACCTGGAAACGTCGAAACGTCAACGTTTTGGGGGGTCCAAACCTGGAAACCTGCACGTTTTGGGACCTGGAAACCTGCACGTTTACGGGGTTCAAACCTGGAAACGTCAACGTTTTGGGGGTCCAAACCTGGAAACCTGCAGGTTTCCAGGTTTTGGACCCCCCAAACGTGCAGGTTTCAGGTTTGGACCCTGAAACGTGCAGGTTTCCAGGTTTGGACCTGCCAAAACGTGCAGGTTTCCAAATTTGGACCCCCGTGCAGGTTTCCAGGTTTGGACCCCCCAAACGTGAAACCTGCACGCACGGAACCTGGAAACCTGCGTTTTGGGGGTCCAAACCTGGAAACCTCACGTTTTGGGGGGTCCAAATCTGGAAACCTGCACGTTTTGGGGGGTCCAAACCTGCAAACCTGCAAACCTGCACGTTTGGGGGGTCCAAACCTGGAAACCTGCACGCATGTTTGAACCTGGAAACCTGCACGTTTTGGTTTGGGGGTCCAAACCTGGAAACTTGCACGTTTTTTGGGGGGATCCATATCTGGAAACCTGCACGTTTTGGGGGGTCCAAACCTGGAAATCTGCACGTTTGGGGGGTCCAAACCTGCAAACCTGCAAACCTGCCAGGTTTGGACCCCGGTCGGCTTGCACTTGCGGACCTAGAGAACCCCAAACCCTGGTTGAGGGTCCTGCGCGTTTTGAAGGGTCCAAACCTGGAGGCCTGCACGTTTGGGGGGTCCAAACCTGGAAACCTGCACGCTTTGGGGGGTCCAAACCTGGAAACCTGCACGTTTGGCGGGTCCAAACCTGGAAACCTGCCCTCAAGGAAAAGTTTTGGGGAGTCGAAACATATCAGAAGGGTCCACAACATGAGGGCTTCGGTGTGTTTAGGGCTTTCGGGTTTTCTGGAACCGAACCGAACCGAACCGAAAACGCACAGAACCGCTAGGAACCGGAACCGCCGAACGAACCGAACCGCTACGAACCGCCGGCCCGCGAACCGAAACGAACCGAACCGAACCGGAACTTTACTGGGTTTAGGGTTTAGGGTTTAGGGTTTAGGGCATCTGTGGTATAGGGCTTCAGGGGACAGGGGGTGACGGTTTAGGGGGATTTGGGGAAAGACCCGTGTGGGAACATCCAACGCAAGATTTCAAAGCCCCTCCGAATCCCCAAAAACACTAATTAAACCCTAAACCCTAAACCTATTATACTGAACTTGGAACCCCTGCACAAATTATATTTTTTGACGTTTCTTAGGAACTACAGTACCCTTAAAAATTAAAATCTATTTCCAAGTACCCCTAAGGAAACCCTAAATTTCGACCTCACACCCTCAGCCCTCCCTCTCTAAACCCTAAACCCTAAACCCTAAACCCTAAACCCTAAACCCTAAACCCTAAACCCTAAACCCTAAACCCTAAACATGTCTGCATGAGGCTCCAATACACGCGCTCGGCGGTGCCCTGCTGCCGTAGTAGCGCCTCCAACACCTTGGCCCTAAACCCTAAACCCTAAACCCTAAACCCTAAACCCTAAACCCTAAACCCCAAAACCATATAAAGGGAAAAGGATACCACTGGGCTACCAAGACACAGACACATCTTCGTCAAGAAGGGCAGCAACCAGCCCAAAGCTACTCTCACCTTGGCTCTTTGCCAGGAAGGGTTAAAGTGTTCAGTGTTTTTGGGGGGTGCCTCCCCCTTATAATCGCAGTCCTTAAATTGGGAGTATATTTGGGGGGGTAGTATCATCCCTACTAAGGGCTGTTGGTATAAGGGGAACATCCCAAGTTGAGGGCTCAGTGTTTTAGGGGGTTAGGGAACTTAAGCTTCTGGATTTCCAGCAAGAATCAACACAGGCCAGCTGCAGCAAACCCTCCCAAACCCTTAGGAACAGCCAGGCTGCCAGGAACAAAATAAGAACAGAGGGGGCGCCCGATTGTTCAAGAGAGATCAAGAAGGGGTCCCAAATGTCATGAACAAGGGTACCACCGGTTCAGGGTTTAGGCCGAACACGTTTAGGAAGAAGACAGCAACCCTACTTTGGAGTAGACCCTGGAAACAAAGTATATACTTGCTAGGTATAGGTGGCTATAACAGGAATCCAGAACCAAGCAAAGAACTAAAGTAGAGTACTCCAAAACCCTAAACCCTAAACCCGAAACTCTAAACCCAGGCAAGTCACCCACGGCATCTGCAATGACGGCCGCGACCAAATCGCGGAAGAGGTTCCGCCACGAATGCGTCACCATCCTATCGGGGTGACTGCAGGGTTTATACGGGGGCCTTCGAAAGTAGGGGACCCCTAAAGAAGACCCCCCAAACAGTATACCGCTTTTGTTCCTTTAAAAGGATTCTAAAGTATTTTGGGTATAAGGGGTACCCCTATTTTCGGAAATCCCCATATAGGGTTTTGGGCCGTGCCCTTAGAAAGTTCTTGGCCGCCACGCGAACTTGAATGTGAGCGCAGTTTAGGGGTTCACATGCCGCTCAAAGACCGCGGTGCCTTTGTGGGCCGCGGCAGAAGTACAGAGCCATGTGCTGAGGGTTCTTATTGGGGCCATGATGTCGAGAACTGCCCTAGAACCTGACCTAAACCTTGAACCCTAAAGTCTAAACCCTAAAGCCCTTGACTAAACCCTAAACCCCCACCCTAAACCCCAAACCCTAAACCCTAAACCCTAAACCTAAACCCAAACCCTAAACCTCCAACCCTAAAACCCAAACCCCTAAACCCCTAAGACTCTTTGTCCCTCCCCTGGGATCCTCTCCATCCAAACCCTAAACCCTAAACCCTAAACCCTACACCCTAAACCCGAAACCATGAAATCCTAAAACCCTCGAGATCCTCTCCGGCTGCAGTGGCCCGCCCATGAGCTCCGCGTAGGCGCAGCGCCGCTCCCTCGTCCGGGGAATGATCACCTGTTCAGGGTCCATAGGGTTTAGGGTTTAGGGTTTGGGGTTTGGGGTTTAGGGTTAGGATTTGCCCCTGCAGCCCCCCAAGTGCAACTTCTCCCGCCCCCCGAGACTCTACTTGCACCTTTCTTTACCGTAGTGCCCGAATCGTCCCCCCAAACCCGAAAACCGTAAACCCCAGGCCCTAAGCCCTAAACCCTAAACCCTAAACCCTAAACCCTAAACCCTAAACCCTAAACCCTAAGCCCTAAGCCCTACTGGCATCTAATGTGGTCCCTTACCTCCCTTAAAGGGTTCTGAAGTTTGGGCCCTGGGGCTTCTCAAGGTATACAAGGGTGGAACCCTAAACCCTAAACCCTAAACCCTAAACCCTAAACCCTAAACCCTAAACCCTAAACCCTAAACCCTAAACCCTAAACCCTAAACCCGGTGGAAAAAGCGGTCCCCTCTTAAGGGCCCCTACTAAGGGATCCGTGCAACTACCCTGGGCTAAACCAACCCTAACCCTAAACCCTCAAGCCCCAGGGCCCCCCCAAAAAAGAGCCCCAAGGGTCCAAAGGGTTTAGGGTTTGGGGTTTGGGGTTTGGGGTTTAGGGTTTGGGGTTTAGGGTTTAGAGTTTAGGAAGAGCCTGTCGCACCACGTCATTGGTGGTATGCACGCCGACCTGATAGTGCGGCATGGCGGTCTTGCCCAGCTCCTTGTAAAATCGGAGCCTTTGTCTCGCAAGAACTTACGTCGAGCTTGGGGTTGAGGGTGAGGGCTTAGGGTTTGGGGTTTGGGATTTAGGGGGTTTCGGGTGGGAGATTGGGGTTGAGGGTTTTGGGGGGTTTAAGGTTTTGGGCTTTTAGGTTTGTGGTGGAATGGGGCGAGGGTTCGCATTGAGCATCTGTGGGATCGGAATTGGAGTTTTGGGCTTGAGGTTTTGGCAGTGTTGGTGTAATGGGGCGAGGATTGGTGTTGAAGAGTTTTGGATAGGTATGAAATTAGTTTTGTTGCTTGGCGTTACACGGGCCCCAAAACCCAACAAAGGCAAAAGGGTACCACTGTCTTCAAGGCCACAAAGATGAGAAGAGTACCACCGGGTCAGGGTCAAGGTTAAACCCTTCGAAACCCTAAACCCTGCACCCTACCCCTAAACCCTAAACCCTAAACCCTAAACCCTAAACCCTAAACCCTGCACCCTAAAGAGCAGAGCAGCAAGGCTCGCGCAGTGACTCCGCGCATTGACAACTCCTCCACTTTTGCTTGCCAGTCCTTGGGGACGAGGTGTACCCTTGTTATGAGCAGTGGGAATTAGAGACTAGATGGGTATACGTGTGTGGTATGTGCATATACATATATATATATATATATCTTAATTTCTTTATCTATCATTTCTTTAGTCACATCTTCACATCTGCATTGTTGAAGTCTCAATGTTTTTGTACATGTATACTTGTATTTATGCCGATCCAGGTTTCAGGGTTCCTTCCACACCGACCTAAACCCTAAACCATAAACCCCTAAACCCTAAACCCTAAACCCCTAAACCCTAAACCCTAAACCCCAAACCCTGAACCCTAAAAGGCCTCCTCCAGCGCTGTGGCAGTTCGGCTCTTTCCGGCGCACGGGCACGGGAATCGCGGGCGCGGCTTGGTTCGGCTGGACTGCCGGTGGGCATTCCTATGCTGAACATGGGGTTTAGGGTTTAGGGTTTAGGGTTTAGGGTTTAGGGTTTAGATAGGGTTTAGGGTTTGGGGTTGAGGGTTTAGGGTTTAGGGTTTAGGGTTTGCCTGCTGAACTCGGGAACCCCTAGCAAAGATTCGTATAATTTTTGCTGCTTCTTAGGAATTGCAGTACAATATAGTATAATTTTAGCTGCTTCTTACGAAATTCAGTATCCAAACATTAAAAGCTATTCCCAAGAATCCCAACCCCCCCCCTCCTTTCCAGGCTCCTCTCTATAATTCATGTCTTACCAAGTCTAAATTATGGGGGGGGGGTAGTTTAGACTATACTGAACTTGGAACCCTAGCAAAAAAATAGTTTGTTTTTAGCTGCTTCTTAGGAAATACAGTACCACAAAGTCACTAAAAAAAAACAAAACATTCCTAAGAATCCCTAAGGTTCGACAGGAAGCAGGTGCCCAAGGTGTTGCCCAGCAGCACGAAGCTGAGAATCCAGGGAAGCGCGCCGTAGTGGCCGTATCGGATGAGCACGCGCGCGCAGGGGAATGACACCAAGGTGCTGGCAAAGCACAGCGCTACGCCCCAAGTCTCCTGCTCACATTCTGAAAAGAGGGTTTAGTCTAGTGCTTTGGGGCTGGAATTGCAATTGGGCCTTCAACTGAGGAATAGTTCTAGGGTTTTGGGGGAGATGCTTCCAGGACACTGCCATGAACGGACTGTGGATAATTTGTGTTTTATACCTTGTCGGTCTATCTTTATCTGGTCCTAAACTCATGCGTCACGCACGCAACCCTGATGTCTGAACCCATAACCTCTAAGGCCCTAAAGCACTCTAAGCCCTAAACCCTAGTCACCCTAAAGCCTAAAACCTGAAACCCAGACCTTGAACCCGGAACTAAACCCTAGGCCCTAGACACCCTACACTAGACACCCTTTTCCCTAAACCCTAAACCCTAAACCCTAAACCCTAAACCCTAAACCCTCCTGACAACCCCCGATGTCCTTGCGCATGGCCCACCTTGCTCGCTTGAGGCCCTGGCATCCTCGGTTGAAACGGGCGTTTAGGGCTTTTAGTTTCTTGGGGTCTTTTTGGTTTGTAGGGTGCTGAGGGCTTTAAAGCTTCTAGGGCATTTGGGGTTCACAGGGCTTTCAGGGTTTTCAGGGTTTTTGGGGCTTTTTGGGTTTGTTGGGGCTTTTAGGGTTTGTGGGCCTTTTAAGGGATTTAGGGTTGGAAGGGTTTACGGGGATTTTGGGGGTTCACGGTTTGGAGTGAAACAAGGGATGCTAGTCTGCTACTCCAAAAACGCAAACCCTAAACCCTAAACCCTAAACCCTAAACCCTAAACCCTAAACCCATTAAAAAGACGCTGCTGGGGCGTCCTGGCCGCCTGGGTCGTTCACATCGCATGTGCGCTCAGCAACCTCCCTCGCCTGGGCTCTTGTGAAGACACGTCGTGTTGGGCTGAGGGCTTGGGGCTTAGGGTTCAGGGTGTAGGGTTTAGGGTTTAGGGTTTAGGGCTTAGGGCTTAGGGTTCAGGGTGTAGGGTTCAGGGTTTAGGGTTTAGGGTGGTGGGTTTAGGGTTTAGGGTTTAGGGTGGGAGTCTAGGGCCCAGGATGCCTGGGGTTAAGATACCACAGGACGGGTTTAGGCTTCAGGGCTTAGGGATTTTGATGATGGTGATGATGATGATGATGGTGATGACGATATGCACATATATATATATATATAATGACATAACTTACACTTCTGTCCCTGAACAAGAGCCCCGTCGCCTTGTGCAGACTTTGGAGAACTTCCCGGTATGCGAACCTGGGCTTGCTCCGGGGAGTTTGTAGGGTGTGAGACTTGGGGTTTAGGGTGCAGGGTTTGGGGTGTAGGGTTTAGGGGCTTAGGGGCTTAGGGGTTTAGGGGCTTAGGGGCTGAGGGCTTCAGGGGTTTAGGGGTTTCGGGGTTTGGGGGTTTAGGGGTTTAGGGTCTAGGCTACGGGGATTCGGTGTTCGGGCTTGCAGCTTGTCCAGGCCGCTTTTGGTCAGTGGGGTTTTGACGGGACTCTATTCGTAAACAAAGGGTGCTGCTGGGCAGCCTCCCAAAGCCCACCTTAACCCTCAACCCTAAACCCTAAACCCTAAACCCTAAACTCTAAACCCTAAACCCTAAACCCTGAACCCTGAACCCTGAACCCTGACCCCTGACCCCTAAGCCGCGACCCGTAAGTGCGAAAGTGGATTGAAGGCCTCGGAGTGTGTCGAACACGTCCCTTGAAGGATTTTTGGTTTCGGGTTTAAGTTAAGGGTTTGGCATTGAAGCTAAGACCTTCCTCTTCGGAAAGACTGCGCGCAGGAGGATTACCTCTTGGGTGCTGCAATCTTCCCGCCTCTCCCCTCCTAAACCACAAAAAAACACGTAAACCCTAAGCCCTGAACCCTAAACCCTAACCCCTAAACCCTATGTTTGTCTTGAAGTTGGGAGCAGCCATGTTTGATCTGCATGGGGAGGTTGGCTCAAAAGCTGCTTGATGACCTTATCCCTATAGTATTTGCGGCACTGCCACCGGCTCATAAGCTCTAATGGGACCTCTTTCCAGCAACGCCTTGCCATCATCTGCACCATAGTCTGACTCTACTGCTCTTCGCCTCAAAGTGGCCTTGAGCACTGAGGAACCAGAGTTAAGTAAGAATCCTTGCGTGAGTTCAACACCCCCCGCCTTGCGAGATTTACGAGCAATGACCCTCAGAACTCACTTTTCGGGGGATGCCTCCAAGCCCCTGTTTCCACGAGGAGGTAGTGATCATCACAAAATATAGCGGTCGGCAAGCGAAATATGGCAAATGTTTGATCTGCAGAAGCATCCGGTGGTCTGCAGCCTGCGAAAGGAAACGTTCCACTGAAGGACGTGATTCTATCATGCCAATGTTCAGGAAGCAAAACTGCTCGGTATTCAAACCTGCCAAAGTATCCTGCCATGAGCCATGCGCTTGTCCAACGTCTAGTGCGGACATGCCATCCGACGCAGAACCTTTCCGGAAGCATCTGGGATTGATTGGAACCCCCCGGGTCGCCGGCATGGTCATCTGAAGGTAAGGCTTGCGCTGGCTGCGTTGGGTCTTCATACTGTGTGCACATGTCGTTTTGGATGCCCGTAGAGGTTTGCACCCCCGCATTCTGCAATTGCTTGCAGTGGTCTGTCTGCACCTCACGCGTCTGCTTCTCGCATGGTTGCCACCTGCATCTCTTTCGATTCTGGCTACACCTCGCAGCATTTTCCATGTCAGCATTGCCCCCCAGTGTGTTCGCGGAAACAACAGCAGCAGCTTCAACATGGTGCTCCAGTTCGTCCTCGTCGATCGGCCTTTCATTCTGTCCATGCCCGCCTAAAAGATCAGCCAGTCGGAGAAACTCGAGGCTCTTAACCTGTTTGTCTTGAAGTTGGGAGCAGCCATGTTGATCTGCATGGGGAGGTTGGCTCAAAAGCTGCTTGATGACCTTATCCCTATAGTATTTGCGGTACTGCCACCGGTCATAAGCTCTAATGGGACATCTTTCCAGCAACGCGTTGCCATCATCTGCACCATAGTCTGACTCTACTGCTCTTCGCCTCAAAGTGGCCTTGAGCACTGAGGAACCAGAGTTAAGTAAGAATCCTTGCGTGAGTTCAACACCCTAAACCCTGAACGAAACTAGCCCTGGGCTTGTTAGGGGTTGGGCGGCTCCAGCCACGCAACAGGATCCTGATGCACAGCCACACGACGAAGGAGTACAGCACCTTAGTTGTCCATTAGCCCGGTGGAATTAAAGGTCAACCTTTGGGATTTTGTAGGGATTAGAATACCCCCAAAACGCCCTAAACCCTAAACCCTGAACCCTAAACCCGAAATCCTAAACCCTAAACCCCAAAAAGAGTAAAGGACACCTACTCTACTACTAAGGCACGGTCTGCAGGATCCGTATGAAGGGCACGAGGTCGGGCCGCACGAAAGCCAAAGCAACGCTACCAACCTGTAGGGCTTAGGGTTTAGGGTTTAGGGTTTAGGGCTTAGGGTTTAGGGTTTAGGGTTTAGGGTTTTAGGGTTTTAGGGTTTTAGGGTTTAGGGTTTAGGGTTTAGGGTTTAGGGTTTAGGGTTTAGGGTTTAGGGTTTAGGGTTTAGGGTTTAGGGTTTAGGGTTTAGGGTTTAGGGTTTAGGGTTTAGGGTTTAGGGTTTAGGGTTTAGGGTTTAGGGTTTAGGGTATAGGGTTTAGGGTTTAGGGTTTAGGGTTTAGGGTTTAGGGTTTAGGGTTTAGGGTTTAGGGTTTAGGGTTTAGGGCTTAGGGCTTTGGGCTTAGGGTTTAGGGTTTGCTTGGGGTTTAGGGTTTAGGGCTTCGGGCTTAAAAGGCTTAGGGCTGAGGGCTTACCTTGTGGACGACACGAACCCAAAAAGCTTTGTGGCTCAGACATTTCCCTAGTGACTAAAGGTTAGCCTTTGGGATTATAAGGGGATTAGATTAATTACCCCAAAAAGGTTAAAGGTTACCTACTCTACTACTAGGCTTCTCTAGTGTTCCAAACGCGGCACTCTTTTCCATCCCAAAGGTCTTCTCCGAAAAGAGGGAGCCCTAAAAAGTCCTTCAACCCTGAACCCTTTTTGCTGGGGTATAGGCTCAACAATATAGAATTCAAGGTCCGCCGACCCTGGCGGCGTGTTGGATGGGAAAAGGAGGTGAAAACCTCCCTCTTTCCCCCAAAACGCGGGGGGGGGGGGGGGGGGGGGGGGTGGGGGGGGTCGGTGCACAATTTTTTCGTGAGGACCGCGCCACCCGCACAGCGTAAACAGGGGGTTCAGCACGGGGGGGTAGGGGCGCCCTCAGCAAAATCAGCGTTTTCCACCCCCCCCCCCCGCCCCCCACCCCCCCCCCCACCCCCCCCCCCCCCCCCCCCCACCCCCCCCCCCCCCCCCACCCACCCCCCCCCACCCCCCCCCCCACCCCCCCCCCCACCCCCACCCCCCCCCCCCACTCCCCACCCCCCCACCCACCCACTTGTTTTTTGGCTTGAGCTTGTCCTGGTGCTGCCCCCCATCCCCCCCCAAACGATTCACAGAACTCTGCCGAGCAGGTTGGGAAGATCTTCCATGCGAGCGGGTTTAGACCTCTCAACTATGCTCCAGCGGAGTCGGCGGCTTGAGCCGGAGGCTCTTAAAT